TTTGAAATAGATTTTAAACATAGTATATTTTAAATAGGTTTTTGGGCTTAATTGACTGGTAATAAGCTATTTATATATTATTTAATTATACAAAATTTTATGAACTGTTGCAACATTTGATGCCAGATGGAACAGAAAGGCCAGTCATGTACACCTCTAGGACACTAACGGAAGCAGAAAAAAGGTATGCTACAGTTGACAAGGAAGCGATGGCGTTAGTTTTTGCAGTAAAGCAGTTTAGACAATACCTCAGTGTGAATAAATTTCAAGGTGAGGACGGATCACAAGCCACTTAAAAGAATATTCGGAATGCATCGAGATCTTACCAAAGTAGTAAACAACCGTATGGTTCGTTAGGCTTTGTATTTAATGGAGTATGAATTTGAGATCTAGTACATCAAAGGACACGATAATCGTTTGGCTGATTTTTTTGTCTCAGTTTTCACTCAAGACCCAAGAAGTATTGGATCCAGATGAGAGAGAGATTCGAGCATTGGTTCAGGAGAAAATTGACATAGTTTATCCAAATCATGAACTTGTGCTGGAATATAAGTGAGACCCAAATATGGAGAAACTCATAGACTACCTGGAACATGGTTGGCCAAAAGATACAGGAAACTTGCCACCATCCATAAAACCATATTGGAATAAGAGAGAAGAGCTGACATTGGAAAAAGGTTGAATCAAGGTGCAACTGATCCATCTCAATGGACAATGCAAATGGAACCTGAAGATGATGAACATAGTTTTGGAAACTCAGCTAAATTGGGTGGGGAGAAATGTAGGATTATTGTTATCAGCTGATATGTTCAGTTATGAATCATCTGCTGTTTAGTTTGTTTACATTATTATTGCTTTTGTAAATAAATAGTATTGATTGAGTTTACTTAAAATGTATTAATTAATTATTCTATATTAGGCCTAATTGGTTTTGAGGTAATGTTATCAATAATAGACAATTTAGACAATGCTCTTTATTTACATATTCGTGGGAGAATAGTACATGCGGCAATAACAACAAATATTGTAAGAACAAACTTTACAGTTTATTTGAACACGTTTAAGGTTATTTAAAAAAACTGCAATTATGTATACAGTAGAACCCCAGTTAACCGAATGGGGGAGAGCCGTTTCAGATAACCAATTTTTCGGTTAACCTATCATATGCTAAAAATAGCCTACGTATTACCACGGTGTGTGGGAGAAATGAATTTAAAAGAATGTCTATATAATACAGTGTTTTATTTCAACTACAAAAAAAATGTTGCAATGGGCTGGAAAATACTTTAAACTAAACAATTAAAGTTACTAAAGCATTTTACATTAGGTATTACTGATATTTTTTTGCCCTGTATTATTTTATAGAACCGTTTCAGTTAACCCGGGTTTCGGTTAACCCGAATTCGGTTAACCGGGGTTCTACTGTACTAAACATTTTTCTTCTGTTAAGTGTCTTTTTACTGTAGCACTTCTAAACAAAATATAAATTACGGTAATTTAACAATACAAAATATTCAGATTTTATCTTATTTTCCATTGTATTCAACCCAGGAAGTCCTTTATGACTGTAAGATCAGAGCTATGCGTTCGTAAGACGTTTTGGAACTACAACATCAGTTCCAGACGTAAAACAAAGCCGCGTCTCCACCAACAGAACATGTTCGACGAACATTTTGTATTTCAGCCGAACGTTTTTCGGTGTTGGTTTGGTGGAGACGCCTTTTCGAACACTCTGAGCATCGTGGTGGGAACTGGATGTTTGGGTGTAAATCTTCATCCTAGAACAAATGTTTCTCCTTGTGCAGTTAGTAGCATTTTTCATTGTTTCTAGTGAAGTTTGACTTTGTACGTGTTTTTTTTTTTTAGACTTTGTGTTTTGTATTCATCTTTTAATTGATTGACAAATCAGTTTCGGATGATTATAGTATTGTGATTATTAGTATCTTGTTTTGAAATAGTTGGCCTAATCAGTGATAAGTAACTTAGAGGCGGTTCACGAGCTCGGGACTTCATAGTCCGCGACCAGACGTTGGTCCCGGACTATATAAGCGACGACCAAAAAATGGGTTCACGAGTCAGAGCCTAATGATGTGAAAGCCGGGCCCATTGTAGGTCGAGACCAAATCCATAGCGGAGCCTAATGACAGGGATTCGCAGGGAATTTCTGTTAAGACGTTGGTAACAACCAGTAACGACAGTCTGGAAACACATGTGAAGCCACTGCTGTTGACATACGCACTTCCATACAAAAGGATTATCGTGAAAAAAGGCTGAACCAAAACGTCCAAACCGATTATTTTTCTCGTATTCCATTGTCCCAATGCTCGCCTATGATAATCTATCTAAGTTCATTGATTTATAAACACAACAATCCACGTTTGTATGAAATCAGATAATGGAAGTATTTAATGAAATATATTTTTCTGTGTGCATTATTATAATTTAATTAAGATGCATGACATAAAATAACCGGGTAGGCCTATTTATAACCGGATGAATGCCTATTTTGCATAAATGCCCGATAATTAAGGATGGTGATTTTTGGATAGGATAACTTTAACAAAACTTATTTAAATGGTACAATTATTGAAACTAAAATGTATTTAGAGGTACTGATTATTAGATATAAAAATCGTATGTGTGCTGGATTTAATCGTGGCTGTAAACAAAGAATATTCTTTCCGTTATTCTTCCACTCTATAATAATCTAACTGTAAAATGTTGAAAATAATATTCTGCAATTAGCTCGTAATATTATTTATGTTAACAGCTATGGTTTTTAATTTACATTTTGTGTTGTTGCGATTTTTAAAATCAGTTTCATTACAATGCGTTTATATTTACTAGGTAGGAAGGATTTACTAGTATTATATTATATTTACTAGTAGGAAAACATAGTTTTTTTTTCTTTGGGCATAGTTTCGAACTGAAAATTTGATTTGTTCTGCTTTCATTAACAAACAAATAGCTACCATCCAAACTTTACTAACATCCAATAAATCACCAGTTTCTCGATGAAAAGTGCCATCAGCCAAAAATATTAGTGCAACTTTTTTTTCAATTTAGAATACTGTAATGGATTTTGTTGTCGGGAAATCCGTGCCTTGGAGTGAACGCCTCAAATGACTCATTGACGGTATCTTTGGAACATTTTAATTTATCTTTAAATTCATCAAGTCATAAAAGGGTTCTAGTCATGATAACGAGCTGGTCCTATGCGAGGTAGTGGAGTGATGGTACATAATTGTTAACATAATACAGTATAGATATTTCATAGCCATATTCAATACACACGGCGACCAGTGAGTACAACACAAGACAGTGATATCACCGCGAACCGTACTCAACGACTGACGGTTTGATTGATGTTTCCCACGGCAAAAAACTATTTCTGATAATTATGCTGGATAACGATGGTTTAACTGTGGCTGATTAGTTATATTTATATTCTACGCATAATTTTGTCGTTAAAATTGTAATAACATGGGGTTTATCAGTGAAATATCTTAGTTATGATACTACTTTGTTACGTGCATAATTTATCTGTCGTTTTAAGTTGTTTGATGATTTTTTTCATGTTTTATGAGCCTTTTTACCATTTTTACATATTTTTTTAATATGGTGTTGTGGGTAATGAAATTGTTCGGAATTTAATGAGGAACCATATTTAAACATTAGTTTTTAACAAATAATAAAAATAAAGGAGCTAATTAGATAAAACCGGCATCATGTCACGTTAAACCTGCCTCCTACCAGGTCTGAGTTGGAGACCAAACACCATTGTTCTTTTGGGCCCGAACCATCTCATTTGGGCTCGGACTTGACTCGTGAACCCACCGGGACTAATTATCAGAGCCGGGACTATCTGTAATTGGACTCGTGAACCCAACTTTTAAAACCGGGTTTTATCCCTGCACTAATTGTGTGCCGCCTATCAGTTTGGTCCGCGGCTTTTATAGTCTCGAGCTCGTGAACCCGATTTTTTAAGTCGCGGCCCAAATACCGGTTATTTCCGGATTCTGGGCTCGGACCACGATAGTCCCGAGCTCGTGAACCGCCCCTTAAAATCCTGAATACACACCCTTGTAAAATTTGTGAATAAGCAACTCGCTGTCAGTTCTGCTTGATAAAGGTCACTGCACTCATTTCTTCCTCTTAAACAGTTGTCTCTGCCACCAACGAGGAGGTCAATGAGTGGTCACGAGCAAATGAGCAGCTGCTAGGCCTATGCACGCCGAATAAAGTCGACGGTGTGTAGATGTACTCATCACTACTCAAGATCACCAACTAATCAAAATGTCCGGATCCCTTATACGCGAACAGTCCGTGAGCTACTTTAAATGACTAATTGTGGAATGTTAGTCCGTTTTTTATGTTAGCGAACAGTGTTCAGCGGACATGTTCGGTTGGTGGAGACGGGGCTGAAACAATACAAAATGTAAACTGATGTTTAAAATTTGTTTACCAAAATACTAAGTTATTCCTTAATTAATTTGATAATTTTAGTAAGGTCTACTTTGAAATGAAATTACATTTTTAGTGTGCTAGCGTAATGATCTTGAAAACCCACTCCCTCTTCATGGTAATGCTAAGCCGAACCCCTCCTTAAGCGTTACATAATATGTGTACGGCCCCTTAGGCCCGCAAATGTCTGAACATTATCCTAAAGTATCACACAACAATCTTTTTAAAATAAAGAGGTGTTTGTTAAGGCCTTGGCAATCATCTATTGTGTTGTGTTATTGTTAGTGATAGTAATACACATAGTCTACAGGTACTATAGGTACATTAAGGCTTCTTATCTTGTTCTTATCATATGGTATGCCATAGTAAATTCATTTGTTAGAATAGGCTAGGCTATTTAATAGGCTTATTACTTTGTTTTATTGGCAATGTTGAAAAAATTTGCTACACTTTAAATAAATTGTTTGATTAAATTGAAGTATTGTGTACCATTACCACAGTTTCTGTATTTAATTTACCTTTGTGTGTGTACACAGATGAAAAACAAGTTCGAAATCTTGTCCTTTGGCTAGAAGACCAAAAGATTCGCCAGTATAAAGTTGAAGAAAGAGCAGAATTACGGGATACTGAGTCACCCAACTGGCCAGCCACTTTTAAGCAGTACTGTCTTGATGTTGCTTGTCCTGTACAAGGGAAACTATCTGAACAACTTGAATGGTTGTTAGGATTTGCAGTGAGGCTTGAATTTGCTGACAATCGTAAGTAAAGTTTAGGATTTATTCATCACTAATAAGTTATAATATATTACATAAATACCAACCAATTAAAAACATATAAACATTACTAAACATATCATAAGTACTTTTGACACAGTTTTGCACACCATACTTTTGCAGAAATTGGATTTTTATGGTATAAAACACCGTGGAAACTTAATATTTTTGAAACCTACCTTTGTGGCTGTAAAGTAGACAACAATATGTAGCATCCGGCAAACAAACATCAGCTTTTAAAGAGGTTTTTGCCAGGGGTGCCACAGGTTTAGGTTGCCGAGGTCAGTGAGGTCAGTACTCGGGCTAGTAATGTTTTACAGTAGGACCCCAGTTAACCGAAATAAAGGGGGGGGAGCCGTTTCGGATAACCAATTTTTCAGTTAACCCGTCATATGCTAAAAATAGCCTATGTGTTACCACGGTGTGCAGGAAAAATGTATTAAAAACATTGTCTATATAATACAGTGTTTTATTTCAGCTACAGAAATGTTACAATGGGTTACAAAATACTTTGAAATAACAACTGAAGTTATTAAAACATTTTACATTACGTATTACTTATATTTTAACCCTGTATCCCTGTTGTTTAATGGAACCGTTTCGGTTAACCCAGGTTTTGGTTTACCCTAATTCGGTTAACCGGGGTTCTACTACTGTATATGTTAATGATTTGCCAAATGCTATGCCTTTAAAAACAGTACTATATGCAGATGACACATCCTTCATTCAGCCTTCTGACGATTTTAAGAGAGCAATCCATACAATTGATAAACATGATCAATATTGATAATTAATTGGTTTTTAAGTGTAATTTTCTTTTGAAATTAATAGAGACAAGAAAGAGAAAATATGTTTAACACTATGCAGCCTCCAAAATGGAAATTCAGACTTGTAAAATTGCTGGGTATTTTCCTAGATAAAAAAATAACTTGGGAAAAACATACAAGCAATTTAATAAATATGAGTACTCATAAGGTTAACATGGGAAACTCCAGAGCCCTTTTGACGGATCTGCACCAAACTACACACAAACCATCCTTGAATAATGCTTAACAAGCTGCTATACCCGTGCTTTGCAACGGGAAGAAAACCTAGACTTCTATAAGTGTTGCTGATGATTGAAAAGACTGATTTAAAAGTTGAAAACTTTCTAAACCCTACTTTTGATGTCAATAGATCCAAATATGACAACATACCTTAGTGTAGCAATCTTGTTATTAATCCTTCTGCGTCATGGATGAAATGTTTTAACACAATTCTTCAATTTTAGTCAAGATTCTTTACATGTAGCCTACTGTATAAATTACGAATGAAACTGTGAGCAATGCTGGCAACACTCTTACAAAACTTATGCAACCTTTCTTTGTCCGAACATAACCCTCTAAATAGTTCACATATTTATAAAGCATCACAAACATCTTTTTCCAGTAAATAAACAAACACCAGTTTACATTGCCCAGCTGTTTCATTATACTAGGTGGCGTTCACAGATGCATCCACAAAATTGAGCGGAGTCATCATCAAGGGTTCATATTATATTGTTTTTGTCATACTGCAGTAAAAACAGTCGTCATTGATGCATGCGTTCCGGGTCTAAAGTAGCATTTTTACTCTTTAGGAAATAAAATTCGTTTTTAGCCTCTATGGGGTAAAACTCAGCTGTTGTCAACTCAGATGTAAATTTATATTTTAAACGATTGAATACGTATCGAAAGATGTAACGATTCGTGCTTCATAATCATTTTAACTAGTCTCTTCCCATAGCATTTTAGCATTGCAGATACATTAATCCATTCCCACACTCAACACTGCCCACCTTTACTACTTCCTTCACCACCCCTACGTCATGGACCTATTTCCCTCTCTTCCCATAGCATTTTAGAATTGCAGATACATTGTAATTTACAGTTCCCACACTCTGCACTGCAAGCCTTACTACTTCCTTCAACCATTTCCTACGTCATAGACCTGTTTCCTTCCCTTCCCATAGCATTTAAGTATTAGATACATTTATCTAACTGCCCAAACGGTTCCCTCACTCTGCACTGCCAGCCGTTACTACTTCCTTCACCACTTCCTACGTCGTGGGGCCTGTTTCCTTCCCTTCTCATAGCATTTTAAGATTGAAGATACATTAATCTAACTGCCACAGATGGTTCTCACAATATGTCCATACTTCATTACTTCCTAAGCCACTTCCTACATCGTGGACCTGTTTTCATCACTTTCCATACCATTTTAGTATTTTAGTTACGTTAATCTAATTGTCACAAACATTGCCCACACTCCGCACTGCTAGCCTTTACTACTTCTTTCACCATTTTCTATGTCGTGGGCATGCTTCCATCCCTTTCCATCCCTTCTCACAGCATTTCAGCATTGCAGGTACATTAATCTAACTGCTACAAACTGTTTCCAGTTCCCAAACTCCACACTGCTCACCTTACTACTTCCTTCACCTCTTCTTACGTCGCAGACCTGTTTCCCTCTCTTCCCATAGAATTTTAAGATTGTAGATACCAAGATACCTTAATCTAATCGTCATAAACAGTTCCCACACTCCGGACAACTCGCCTTTACTACTTCCTTCACCACTTCCTACGTCACGGACCTGTTTCCCTCCCCTTTCTATAGCATTTTAGGATTGCAGATACCTTAATCTAATCGTCATAAACAGTTCCCACACTCCGAAAAACTTGCCTTTACTGCTTCCTTCATAACTTCCTACGTCACGGACCTGTTTACCTCCCTTCCCATAGCATTTTAGGATTGGAAATACCTTAATCTAATGGTCATAAACAGATCCCATACCCCGAACATCTCGCCTTTACTACTTCCTTCACCAATTCGTACATCGCGGACCTGCTTTCCTCCCTTTCCATAGCATTTTAGGATTGTAGATACCTTAATCGGATAGTCATAAACAGTTTCCACACTCCGGACAGCCCGCCTTGACTATTTCCTTCACCACTTCCTACGTCGCGGACCTGTTTTCCTCCCTTCCCATAGCATTTTAGGATTGCAAATACCTTAATATAACGCTCATAAACAGATCCCATACCCTGAACATCTCGCCTTTACTACTTCCTTCACCACTTCGTACATCGCAGACCTGTTTTCCTGCCTTTCCATAGCATTTTAGGATTGTAAATACCTTAATCTAATTGTCATACACAGTTCCCACACTACGGACAGCTCGCCTTGACTACTTCCTTCACCACTTCCTACGTCACGGACCCGTTTTCCTCCCTTCCCATAGAATTTTAGGAATGCATATACCTAAATCTAATCGTCATAAACAGTTTCCACACTCTGGACAGCTCACCTTGACTACTTCCTTCACCACTTCCTACGTCGCGGATCCGCTTTTCTCCCTTCCCATAGAATTTTAGGAATGCAGATACCTTAATCTAATCGTCATAAACAGTACGTCACGGACCCGTTTTCCTCCCTTCCCATAGAATTTTAGGAATGCAGATACCTACCTAAATCTAATCGTCTTAAACAGTTTCCACGCTCCAGACTGCTCACCTTTACTACTTCCTTCACCACTTCCTACGTCACGGACCTCAAGCTAGTGTCGTCATTTGATTATATTTATGATCCATACCACCGTTTATGTTCTAATGTCAATGGAAAATGCTATCAGCTATTTATTTATCTACTGCATTCAAAAGTCAACAGCTGATCATATGTCTTTGTTTATGTGTCAAATACTGCTTCCATAAGGATTATATTGAAACTTTGAGAGACTTTTTTAACGCCATATAGATGTTGGCACTCACCGGTATGGTCTTTATCACCATGCAAAATTTGAAAACGATTGATTCAGCCGTCTAGGAGGAGTTTGCATATTACAAAATGCATAAAAGTCGACGTATAAGAGCTTCGCTCGCTCCGCTCAATTAGATGATTCAACCTTTGGAAGCATAATAGACGTAGCCCTTGCTTTGGATATCGGCCTATGGGGCAGAGCCCCTGAGAAATTTGTCCATACCAATAATTTTCAGTAAATCTACACACTGTAAGCTCCATTTTCATGTGCCATATGCCTATATTTTTATTTTGTAAATGGCCTTAACCGTTTACATAAAATTTGATTGTATCACTTTAATAGTATAATAGATAATGCCTGAAAGTTTCATTACAATCTGTCAAGCGGTTTCGGAGTCCATAAAGGACAAACAAACATACATTGGATTTAGCTATTTTGATCAAACTTGGTAAATTTATTTATTTTATACTAAGTTATTATTATTTTACAAAAACACACACTTTTATACCCTCCCTATAGCAGCAAGCATATGCACTCATAAAACCTAATGTTAGTTAAATACATTTAATTAAAAATCAATTCAGGCAACTGGAAATTCGCTTAATCGGTAGGTTTGCTGCGGCGGGGGTATTATTATTATAAGGTAACACTTAAAATCTTAACTGTTATGTTAAATTGTCTTTACAGTTGAGAAATATAAAAAACGTACCTCCGAGGAAGTGGTCAAGAATAACATTAAAGCCCCAAAGGTGATTTCTTCAAACCCTCTTGACAATTTGGATTGTAAGTACCTCCATATGTGAATATTTTTTTTAGAAACATGTTTATTCATAACATAGGTTTAATCTAATTCAATAGTACATAAAAACAAGGAGTGTGAGTGGCTTGTTTTTTTAGCCAAGCCTGAAAGCTCCTCCTGATTGCAGAAAGTTCCTGCAAAGATTGCATGATAGAAAATTCACAATGTAGCTGTGTCTGAGGAGAGACGATCACACAGTGTAGTCAGTATGAAATGGTGAAAAATGCACATTACACCAAATTTATTACGGTAGACTCTCGCTCATTCGGACTAATGTGGCGGATGTCCGGTAAAGATTACAAAAAATCTGGACTATCGAGAGTCGAGCAAATATTTGTAAATTTTGCTTTTATGGCAAGTGGTTTTGTCAAAACATCCGCTAATACAAACGGGAGTGTCTAAAACAAACTCATCGTAATAAATTACACTCGGCTACTGTACTGTATTTTACAATAGCACTACTGACTACTGTACTGTATTGATAATAATGTAGCCTATTGCGGGAACTGTAAAAAATAAAGCAATTTACCATACTTCTTTAAATATAAATTATTTACAGTACAGTACAGCAATTAATAAACATCACAGGAGTAAAATAATTAACTTCACGAAATGAGCATAAAATTATTTTATTGCATCAACAAAATATACTTTACAGCACTAAACTTAGTACAATTCAGTAGGTTTACTGTATAAGAAATTTATTTAAAAAAAAGTAAACGCAAAAACAGAAAACTTTAGTTAGCCTACATAATTTTAGGAAGTTAACTGACTACTGTCATAAAAAACAAAAAGTTACAATTGGGAGATTTAAACTTTAAAAACTGGACGTAAATAACAAATACAGTAACTTTAGACAGTTATTACTCTATCAGTTAATTAAAAAATAAAAACTGTACTATATGTACATGTTTTCTATATATGAAATTATTGTACATATATGGCCATACATGTTTTCTATATATGAAATTATTGCCCATATATGGCCATAAATATCTTCCATATATGGAATTATGGTCTATATATGGTCATATATGACTCCCAGGTATGGAATTAAATTACTCCTATATGTAACGCATGTATTCTAAAACTGACATAATTTCTAGTTCAGTACGACTTATGTTTTGAAAAAAGTCTTTGATCGTGGCCCGCTTTACCATCTTGGCTTGTTTTGCCGCCATGTCCCTCAGCTTCCATATGCACATTATGTTGGCAGCAGACATGCCTTCTAGACGACTGATATACTCCAGGGCTCCGTCCAGCATCTTGAACCCTTCCGAGTGTGGAATTGGTGGCTTGGGTTCGGGTAGTTCCTCTTCGTCCACTGCTTCATCGTCATTTGACACCATTCTTATAAAGTCGTCGTCTGTAATTTCATCTTCGCCCTAATTGTTCATCCACTCTAATACGTCACTTTCGTTCACTTTGTCACATCCTGGTATTTTCTCCAATAGTGAGACACATTTTCTGTTTTCACTTTGTTCTCATCGTTTTAAAATTCCCCACTGTTGATCTCCTTGAATTTGTTATCCTCGTGGTCTAACAGAGTCTTCCACGATGAAACTATCGTCATGGGCGGGATTTCAACAGTGCCTGAAGTACCCCTTGGTTCATTGGCTGAAAAGGGGCAGTGACATTTGGCGGCAAACAACAACTTTATTGTCGTTGTTCTTTAACTCATTAGCAATGGTCAACTCAACGCATTATCTAACAGGAATCGCTTTTCTTGGCAAGTTGTTAGCGGCTAGACATTTTTCAACACGTTGAACAAAATCAGTAAAAAAACAAGTCTTAAAAATGGCCTAATTTATCAAAGCCTTTTGCTGGTTAGTGTATCATAATGGCAGCACTTAGTCTTTCTTTAACCCTCCGAGTGTTATTTGTCGCTGCAGCGACACATAACACACTTTGTGTAGTGTTTTGTGTCGCTGCAGCGACTCACAAACACTGTTTACGGCGAAGGCTCTATGACTGACAAAATCGGATTGAACTGGATCGAGTTAGGTATCGTTTTATTTTACAGATGCAGAGCTTTCTTTGGAGGTCTGTTTCTAAGCGCTATTCATTTTAGTTCCGAAAATATTGTAGCAGACAGCTGACGTGCGTATTTGTAAACAGCTTGGTTATCCTCGTACCGATGACTGATGTGTTTTATTACATTTATCATTGTTTTAGTGTTAAAAATCAAAAGTAGTGATATACGTGGTGCATTATAAGAAGATTTAAGTGATTTTGAAGGGCTGGTTGATGATCCTGAAGAAGTAGGTAGTGATATTGATGTAAATTATCAGCCAGATTCCTAGCTATGGTTAGGCTATGCATTCTTAGCTAAGCGCTATGTACTGAAATCTGTTTTTTGCCCATAACTTATTTATTTGCAAATCTACTTCCTTATATTATTATATATTTGTAATCCTCATAAAATTTAGAACAAAGTGGCTATTTTCAAATATTTATAGGCCTATAATTTATACAATTTCATTGAGCGCAAACTTATTTTTTTTTTTAAATTTTCCAAAATATTTTTTTTTACCTAAAAATTGTTTTTGAAACAAATGTTCCTTATGTTCTATGCATAATATTGAAGCCCATGATTTTCCAAACAAAATGGTATATAGAACAGTATAATTAACATTGTTTTCAAGCTTCTCAGATCCGTTTTAATAAAACCTTGCAAATGAGCAAAAAATAGGCAGACATTAAGGCCAAAACAAGGGACACTCGGAGGGTTAAATTCTTGAATGTTCTAGGTTTCTTTGATTTTCCGATTAAAGTTAACCTGAGCTTGTGGTTTCCAGTAACATTGCAACAAGCTAACACTGTAACCCTTTCCTTGCTTTTTTTGTACCCCGGTGCAGCGGCTACTTATTTTGAGGCAAGCGTTTTAGTTACATTTTATAATTCAAGCATATTTCATCGCACTTGTACAGCTGATCGCCAGTAATTCCTTCTTCATCAAAGAGATTATGAAGGAAATTCATAAATTCTGGGAAAACGTCTTTTGTTCCCAGATAAAGCTTCCCCACTTACTGAGAATTACCGAACCCCATATCGCTTTTTCCAGCGATCTAACAATCCGTCACTAGCAGAGAATTTTCCATCATCCCCCTCAATTTCACGTTTGAAATACTTAACTTTCTCTTGGAGCAAGGGACCATTAACAGGAACACCTTTACCTCTGAATTGTTCGTAACACAAAAATAACGCCTCTTAAACTTCATTAGGTTTACCTGAACGCATTGTTTTCCTCACCTTACTTGTGCTTACACTAGTTTGAGAGGTGAACGTTTCTATTTTTTCCAGATTTTTCCTCCAGTCCGAAACGGTACTTGTCCCAACTCCTAGCTCGAAGGCAACTTTTTTCGCCGTTTCACCATCAACACACTTCATAGCATGGAGTTAATCTTCAACTGTCACAAACAACTTCTTACGTTTATCACAACTCATTTTAACACAATACAGAACACAATATGCACGCGAAGCTACAGTCAGACTGACAGGTAGCAGACTGTCTGACAGAGGTTAATGGCCAGTAGCGGCTGGTGTTCATAGGTGGTGGGAGGGCTCTGCATATGTTTATATATAAACGAAGGTCTAACATCATTCACGTTTGTCAAAGAATTGGAAAAGATTTAGGGCTTAAATTTGTAATACAGCACACATAGGCCTAGCCTAGGTATATATATTTATTTAAACTTGTTTCCAAGGCTGTTATTGTATTTAACTTAATAACAGTATCTGCAAATGGATCTGTCCTGAAAATAAAATTAACAAAATAATGATAATATTTCATAAAATACAGAAAGCCAAATAAGTAAAACTGCTTACAAAAACAAATTGCATTTAAACTTATACCAGTAAACCTATTATACTTCAATAATATTAATCAACCAGAAATGCAGGGCCTACCTTTAACTAAACTGGATGTGAAATAAATTTAATAAAGTATAAAGTTGGTATTTTACTTAAATACACGCACGAACAGTACTCCTACATCACTATTTATTAATCACTAGACAACATCACCAAACCAAAATAACATTTTGAGGTTAGCTCAGTTGTTTTCTAGTTTTGTTTTAGAAATTAGATGGTTTGAGTTACGACAAACAGGTGCGCCAAAATCAGTTCTACCCATCATAACGGTAGCTTGTCATACAGAATAACCAGATTGTGGTGGCTGCCCTAATTTTAGACTCTGCTCGCGCAACTTTGGACTCAGCCCCAAAGCGCCAGTACTAAAGCATTGCAATGACGTCATGGCAACCCCAACGCTGTTCGGTTGTTCTGCCATAAGACTACATGTATTGGATTGAGACGGTTTGGCTGCCATCCGCGCCGTCTTTACTAAGCAAGCGACGATACAAAATAAGTCTTTACTGAATTGAACTGTCCAATTATTTGATATATTTATGTTGTATATTGTTTAACGTACTCGTTAAAGTAATTTTAATTCAACTTTAACTGAATAATATTAAAATGTAATCTGTTGATGTATTGTTGGGAGGGTGGCATCCGAGAGTCCTTATGAACTAGCCGCCACTGTTAATGACAATGGTTAATGCCCCCTCCCTCTCCCAAAATGGCATGTGTCGTTGTTACTATGATTATTGATTTTGCAAAGAACAATTTGAAAACGCAAAATGTATGCCATTAATGTGATGTGTGCTTACTCGCACAATAAATGAAGGCGTTGATACGTAAAGTTAGTTACATTTTTATTTGATAATACGTACTGCGCCACTAAAAAAATCACGATTGCCGACCAAGACTTTATTTGATAATACTGTGCCGAAAACAAAAAAATCACGATTGCCGATCCGGACTAGCGGGAGTCCGGACAAGGCCGATCCAGATGAGCGAGAGTCTACTGTATTACCAAAGAAAAATATTATACCATTTAGTTTTTCTAGTGATTATTTCACTTATGCTCGTAGAACCTAAATAGTTTGAACTTGTGATTTTGGTGTAATATAAATAATTAGATCAGACATGTTAAAGTGTACGGTAAGCAATAAACTTCTTATTAAACATTGACATTTATAGAAGTATTTTCAGGATATAAAAAAGTGCTGTCATTTAGGCGGCGTAACCTGTAAAAAATAAGGGAGTGTTCCTACATTTATTTTTAAGTATAAAGGTGCATCCACACTTGGCGAACAATGTTCACTGAACAATTATTGCTATCATGTTGCTGTTCGAGGTCGAATGTTTGATGTTCGCTAGGTGTTGACACATCGAACATTCTGAGAGGGAAATTGGAGGTAGAACGTTTTTGTTCAGCCTCTATGAGCGAACTTTAGTCCAGTTCAGAGAGAGCAGCCTTTTGTGTTGAAGCCCCTTGCAGCATGTTTCTTTGCGTTTAATGTTAAAGTGTGTTTGTTGTTAGTGATTTTGTGTACCGCAGTGATTCTGTGTAGTTTAAAAATTAATAAAAACCAGTTTTGGGACAGACATTTTTTTTTAGCTTTAATCAAGCTGTATGAACAGCTTACTGTGGAACCCACTTGATGACAGCTACAAGATGAAGAATAAAAGAAATACCGTAACAGTCTGATGGAAATCTCCAGAGAAATTGGGGATGTGGACTGTGTTAAGAAAAAAATCTACAGTTTATTATCACAGTATAGGCGAGAGAAAAGCAATGCAGAGTTGAATTCCGAGTAAAGTTGGAGAACAGGCAACCACCTATCAAGTCCGCTCTGATGTGCTGCCCCCTATAATCATATCATCTTCTTAATAACAGTCTCTGCCACCACTGACGACTCCATTAATAGCTGATAATGTAATATGTACCTACTACAGTATAACTCCTCATACAGTATACGGCCAAGCCCCTGGCCAGATAAACCAACCTATTATGAAAATGACAATTCATACCTAACAAATATATGTAACCAATATATGCAGTCAAACGTATCATTCAAGTTTGTTCTGGAATTATTTTTAGAAGAATAAACATGTTTGTAAAAAAAAAGGAATTTATTTGTAGGTTTAAGTTGTTAAGTAATGAACGTACGTACAAATATTATGATTCCAGGTAACAAAAACTATTAAATAATAATGGAGTTCAAAATTACAATAAATTGGCCTTGAAGATCATTAAGACTTAAATGGTACATACATATCTATTTAACTTTCTTAACCATTTTGTGAAATACAAAAATTAATGTACTGTATTGTAACTATTACCCCCTTTTGGAAATAATCAACCAACTGTTCAGAGGTTAGGCCTACTAGCTCAACTGAGTATAGTTAAAAAGTAAAATGTATAAAAAACAGATAAATAGTGAGAACGCTTAAGTTGCTAAGACTAGTGCTTGCATCTAAACGTGTGTTAGCTGTTAGAAAAAAAATTTTGATATTGGCTTCCTGGAAGGGGTCGGATAAACAGAGGACCGGGTAAAACCAAGGCCGGATATCAGTTGTTCTACTGTAGCAGAAACAACAGTACAAGCAAGTAAATGCCGACGCCTAAGCACATCCATCTTCATTCGAAACCTAAATAACAGTACAAGCAAGTAAATGCCGACGCCTAAGCACATCCATCTTCATTCGAAACCTAAATACAGTACTGAGTATAGAGTGAATATCATAAAATACTGTTTGTAGAACCGCTTAAATAAATGTTCAGCGAATGTTTCTTCCTAGTCCTAGTGTTAGAAAAACAATACTATTTTTTACATAGGCTGGTATTACATTAGGCTGGTTGATTATTACATTCCAGTATATAAAAAAATTTTAAAATTTAGCAATGATCTAATTTGTTTAGTGCTCAATAGCTATAAATGGGAAATATTTCTCATGAAAGATTAGTTTACATTGCTAAAACGAGCTCTTTGGTGTGACTGTGAGTTGTAACTAAATGTACAGTACTATGTTTCATTCCCTTTGATATTCACTAAGCCTAAAACTATTATTAAATTGTGACAGAATTGACTTTGTGTTTACCGTTGCAGTTGAAAGTATTGAGTTCAAGAATGGAGTGAATGGGTTAGCTGCAGTTTTACAAGTGACACCTCACCCAGACCATCTGGTAACATTGAGAGCCATCAGCCGACTTGTCTCCAAGAGGCTCAACTCAGATGCTCTGGACAATCCGGACACTGTTGTACCCAAGGTCAGGATAGGTTAAAACAACAGGCATCTTTAAACAGCTGCTTCTCTGCTTTTGTCCTATTCTCTAATACGAGCAATGTCTATTGGTCTGTCTGTCTGTCTGTAATATATATCTCAATATCCAGCGAAAGGATTTTGACTAAATTTTGGAAGTACTGTAATCAGAATTGTTTATAGCCGTTAAACATATACATGTAATGGGCTAAGTCACATTTAAAATATCTTAGCCTACTTTAAAAAAAACAAATAATAACTACGGAGAAAATTCCAAAAAATTGTAAATTTTAAATTCCCATATTATTCTTATGGAGAACTTCACAAGTGAGCTCGTTCGCATGGCTCAATCCCGTCCTGGTTGAAGTTCGTTCGCTACGCTAACTCGCCTCCAGGTTGAAGTTTGTTCGCTACGCTCACTCACCTTTTGGTTGCAAATTAGCTGTTTTCATAAATAAAAAAAAAAATAATAGTGCTGCACCCTGTTGGTTATCCTTGTAACTTTAATGGTATTGAACATCATAGAACAGAACCAACTTTTTTAATTGAAACAGCTGTTAAGATTCATTAATTCCATTTAAATATGAGTATTAACCCGAAAGCCCGATCAGAATAAAAACTACTTAGTTTTCCTATTTAATGTCTAAAGAATCAGTGTACCAAATTTCAGCCTCCTAGGTAAATGGGAAGTAAGAGAATTAGTCAGTGAGGGCTTTGCCTTTTATATATAGACTAGCTGTACCCGCTGGCTTTGCCCCGTTTAACTTCACAAGTGAGCTCGCTCGCATGGCTCAATCACGTCCTGGTTGAAGTTTGTTCGCTACGCTCACTCACCTTTAAGTTGGAGCTCGTTCGCTCCGTTCACTTGCCTGCAGGTTAGCTCGTTAGCTGCTCTAACTCGCTTCATAGAACAGAACCAACAACTTGTTTAATTGAAACAGCTGTTAAGAAATTCCTTTTAAATATGAAAAATCATAAGGTTAACATGGGAAACTCCAGAGCCACTGGGGCGGAGCCCAAAGCCCGATCACAATAAAAACTACTTAGTTTTTAGTTTTCCTATTTAATGCCCAAAGAATCGGTGTAACAAATTTCAGCCTCCTAGGTAAATGGGTAGTGGGAGAATTAGTGATGAGTGAGTGAGTGAGTGAGTGAGTGAGTGAGTCAGTCAGTGAGGGCTTTGCCTTTTATATATTTAGACTAGCTGTACCCGCGGGCTTTGCCCCGTTTAACTTCATAAGTGAGCTCGTTCACATGGCTCAATCACGTCCTGGTTATAATGGGAAACTCCAGAGCCACTGGGGCGGAGCCCGAGAGTCCGATAAAAATAAAAACGGCTTAGTTTTCCTATTTAAGGCCTAAAGAATCAGTGTACCAAATTTCAGCCTCCTAGGTAAATGGGAAGTAAGAGAATTAGTGATGAGTGAGTGAGTGAGTCAGTGAGGGCTTTGCCTTTTATATATATAGATAAACTGAAAATTTATATGTATAAATAAAGTAAACTGTTGTAGTTTGCTTGTTTATGAAAATATTTTGATCAAATTTGGAAAATGCATTTATTTCTTACCAAACTATTAACATTCTAAAAAAAAAAACTGATTTTACCCTCCCTGTTGCAGCAAACCTACTCGTTAGCCTACTCTTTAAAGTAATTATATTTAAACTAGCAGTTACCCGGCGCGCGTTGCAGCGCTTAACAACTATTATTTTAAATGGTAATTTGTTCTTTACGATGAATAATAAAAATGTATACCAAAAATAAAAAAAGAATACATTACTTAATTGCCAGTGGATAAACAATGTTTTTTTGTTTTTTCATTAGGTGTATAAATATATAAGTTTTTAGGCGTACCTACCACCACGTGAGCATGCAACATACAGCTGTCCGTGTGAAAAGTATGCAATTTCTAAATTTAAACCGACGATAGTCAGGGATTGCCTTATAATGGTGATTGCGAAACAAGACGCAAAGGAAATTGTAGTTGCTTAAATTCATAGGGTAATTTGGATTAAATCATCAGTATTCTTGGGATTAACACTATTTCTCCTTTAAACTCACCACTGATAATTTTTGCTCCAATCAATTTTGGTGTAATTACTTTAATAATCCGTCTGGTTCCGTTGCACAGCTTCGGTGGATTTAAGTTTTGCATTAGTATTATTGGAGTTCCTTCTTTTAATAACAGTAATGTGGTGGGTTGATGACAAATTGAGGGGCATTTGAATTCCTGAGATAGCACACACGATTATTATTCACTTAATAATTTATATTAGATTGTGTGGGTATAGAACAAAAGATAAAAATATTTAGGCATTGCCATCCCTTTTATTGTTCATAATACTTTGATATAGGTTTTTATGTTTACATATTTTAACATGGAGAAATTAAACGTTGTTGAGTGCACAGGTGTGCTGCGATTGGGGTTTATATATTTGGACTTAATCAAAAGTAAAATAGTTTTCTGTACTGCACTCTGTGGAAACATTGTGGCACTATTTCAAATCATGACTAATACAAAATGTTGTGATTATTCAAACCTACAAAACAGTTGGTGAAAGTAAACATCGGCTTTTAAATTATATTTATTTGTAAACATTGTAGTTCAAAAAGTCTGACATTGGTCCACTTAAAACCCTCTGGGGCGGAGCCCTTTTGACGGATCTGCACCAAACTTCACACAAACCATCCTTGAATAATGCTTAATAATGCCTGAAAGTTTCATTACAATCTGTCCATAACGTTCAAATATATATACAAACTTCCTCTTTTATAAATATAGATAAGGAATGAATGTGATATTTTTAAGGATACATTTTAGTGTATATCCAATCAGGCAATTGGAAATTCGCTTAGTCTGCCGGTTTGCTGTGCCGGGGGTATTGGCATTTAGTTCGTCTTCAGTCATATTAGGTTCAATAGAAAGCGGCCCATACTCTTTATCATAACCTAGCTTTTAGCGAATTTCCCATATAGGGAATAAGCTATTATCGTAGATCTCATAGTAAGACCTGGACCCGGGACCGATTTACCTTTTCGTTTTGGGGTCCCCAGAGGCCTAAAACACCATCCGTTCAAATTCATATATATATATATATATATATATATATATTCATATTCAAACACCTTTATTCATCATAAATCATGTACATTGGTGGTACAGTGAATAGTGTCAGAATACTTAAAATAAAAATACTATTTCTGTATATGGGAGGTGGAAAACTCCTCAAAAGAATATAATGCTAAATTTATTAAATAATCTTTTAGAATTTTTTCTTGAATTTAGATAGGTTTGTTTCTTTTCTTATCAATTCAGGGACAAATTTTAGAAACTCGTTACCAGCGTATGAGGGTTTTTTCAAAAAATTTTAATTTGTGAGGCTGGACAATCTGTCCAGTATGTCCTCTTCTCAAATTCAAATTCACTTTATTGTCACATAAAAACATTTGTACATAGCAAAGCTATTGAACTGGTGACATTGTCAATTCAATATAAACCTAAAAATACAATTAAGTTACAGAACATTTTTGTCTGACTCTAAAACAACAATTACATATAACAATGCTGCTTAATTTTGTAAAAAGTCACTTACAGAGTAAAATACTTGGTTTAAAAGATAACTTTTTAGAGTATTCTTAAAACTCTTTAAACAGATTTGGCTTTTAATGTTTGTCGGTAGATTATTAAAGAACTTCATACCCATGTAACTAGGGCCCTTTTCATAGATTGTTAAGTTATTGTATTCGGTATTGAAAATTGTCTTTGCACCTTGTGTTGTATGCATGTAAATGCTGCTGTCCACAAAGAAGATCAAAATTCTTCTGAATAAGCAATTCAATAAGTAAGCATGAATATATATAGAGAGAGGGAAGGCTCAATAATCCTAACTGTTTAAAGATTGGCTTGCATGAGACTCGTGGCCGCGAAAATGTCATAATGGGAACAATTCTTTTTTGAAACTTGAATATTTTTTTCCAATCAGCCGATGAACCCCATAGCTCAATTCCATATTTCATAATGGAATAAAAATAGGCAAAATAAACCATTAATCTAGTTTCCAAATCAGTTCTATCCCTTAACACAAGCATTTGGAAACAAGCAGAATTCAGTTTATTGCCGAGTATTGTTGTGTATTTTTTCCAGTTTAAATTTTGGTCAATTGTTAATCCCAAAAATTTATTCAGTATTTTAGATGTAATTTCAGTATTTACATTTCAGTATCTCCTCCTGAAATTATAAGAATGTACTGAATTTATTACTTGCTCAGATTATTGTTTTTGCAATAACAATTGTTTCATAAATATATTGCCCATAAACTGTAAACATTTGTAATTTCTTTAAAAAAATGTTCTTTTGCCGAATCATCTCGTTTAAGCTTAAGCATAATTCTGATAGCCTCTTTTTGCCGATTCAGAATGCTATCCATATTAAATTTTGTTGTTGACCCATATAATGCTAAACCGAATGAAAGATGAGAGTGGATGTGAGCAAAATATATACTTTTTAGGGTTTTCAAATTACTATAAAAGGACATATTTGACAATGCATAAATTCCGGAATTAGTTTTGGTCAAAACTTTCTGTGTGTGTTTATCCCAATTCAAATTTTCGTCTATTGTTAATCCCAGAAAGTTGATCAGTTTTTCCTTTTGAATGTTATTTGAGTTGTAAGTTATTGTTGGCTCTTTTGTAATTTTGTTCTGAGCTGTTCTGAAATTTATAAATTTTGTTTTTTGTGAATTTAATAATAAGTTATGATTGTAGAAATAGTTTCCAATATTCTCTGATTCTACATATGTAAAAATTTCAGTTTCTTCTGGAGAGTTAGATGATACAATCAAATTAGAATCATCAGCGTAAAGACATAATATAAAATTTTTCTTGTAGGTTAAATTATCTTCCATGTCCTTAAGGTAACACAAAAAAAGCAAAGGTCCCAAAATTGAACCTTGTGGGACCCCAAATTTAATTGGTTGATAAGTTGATGATGATTTGATAATTCGATTATG